TCCTGACTTCAGGTGATCCACCCACCTCGGCCTCCCAAAGTGCTAGGATTACAGGCGTGAGCCACCATGCCCGGCCAATTTTTAAATTTTATTTTTTAAAGACGGGGTTTCACCATGTTGGTCAGGCTGGTCTCAAACTCCTAACCTCAGGTAATCAGCCCACCTCAGTCTCCCAAAGTGCTGGCATTATAGGCATGAGCCACTGCAGCTGGTCTGTATGTATTATTTTTGTAATTGTGTTTTTATATGAAACTTACCCATGGGTTCACTTATTTTATTTTTTTTGAGACAGGGTCTTTCTCTGGAGTGCAGCGGTGTGATCACAGCTCACTCACCCTCCCTGGCTCAAGTGACCTTCCCACTTTAGCTTCCTGAGTAGCTGGACTACAGGTGAATGCCACCACACCCAGATAGTTTTTGTTTTTGTTTTTGTTTTTGTAGAGACAGAGGTCTCATTATGTTGCCCAGGCTGGTCTTAAACTCCTGGTCTCAAGCTATCATCCTGCCTCAGCCTCCCAAAGTGTTGGGATTACAGGCATGAGTCATCATGTCTATAACACACTTTTACAAAAGGAGTATATCAACTTGGCTCTAGGTTAACTTTTAAAGAGTTTTTGCTATCTTTTGTTTTTAAAGAACATACCCTTTGCAAAGCACAAAACCTGCTTCAAGATGTCCCACTAACACTGCTGCTACAGACCCCAGCTCTCTGAGGGAACCCAGACCCAGGCAGCGGCTAAAGGTGAGTTTGTGTATCAGCCTGTTCTGCACTTACTTATCTTTGCCCCTTTCCTTCAGTTTCTTCATATCCACCATACCACCTGTCTTCATCTGAAAAGGATCATCCTGTGGAAAGCAAACACAGTTAAGAGGAAGCATCTAAATAAATGGCAGCGGAATGTATTTTTTTAAAGCACAACCACTTACTGAAGAGCACTGCAGGGAGGGCTGCCATAAAACCCAGGGAAGACCCCATAACTTACCACTAGAGTGGTCTCTTCCTGCACCTTCTCTCCCACCAGCAGGGCCACAGCACTGAGCAAAACCAAAAAAGGGGAGGGAGAGAAATGGCATCATTCAGAGATAAGGAAGAACCCTCTCAAGTTTGTGGATTGCAACAGTTGAGGGATTTGAGGGGTGGGCAGGCAAGCCAGCCGGAAGAGCCTATAAGCATAAAACAGGGCTCAACAAGCACCACAGATGGTGGAAGAAGGGTGGGCTGGTGGTGAAGCAGTACACTTTCCCACTTTCCTCTAAAGCCATTTGGCATTATCCTGGCCCAGAAATCTCATTTCTAAGATATTCTCATCATGGAAAGTGCAGCTAAAGATAATTTAAAGAGAATATCCACTGCAGCCTTATTTGATAGTAAAAATTTACAAAATCACCTACATGTCCCCAAATAGAGAATTTGTTAACAAATTATGATACACACATCTGGTAGAATATTATGCAGCCATTAAAAAGGTTTTCTGAAAAATATTCCACAATATGGGTGAATGCCCACAATGCCATAATGAGTTGAAAAGAGCAGGGAATAAAAGTACTTAGAAAGTTGTTCACAATCTCAGAGAGTGAGAGAGAGAGAAAACAAATTGGAAAGAGTATTAAATATTAACACCAGTGCATTGCTGGGTGGTTTTGCGAGGAAAAAATATGTTAACACTGGTTATTTCTGGATGGGAGAATTACGGGTGCTTTTTATTGTATTGGCTGTACTTTCCTAAATTAGCCAAACTCTTAACGATCGATATGCATCTCACAATTAATTGGTTTTAATAAAAAATGCGAGTTAGTGACCTGTTTCTGTACCTCTGGAGCACACCCCAAGACGACACAGCTTAGGGCATGTCCTGGTTAAACATTTGCAAAGAACGCTGTTCTCCTCTTTGGGCAGTGGAAGGTGTATACTGTGTCAAGAGAAAAATCTACGTCTCTGGAGATAGTTGTGACAGCGACCCCGGCGCGGGTGTGTCTGTCGTCCCCGCCTCCTCCTCCTCCCCTTCCCCCCGTGGTACCCACCTCACCCCGTTGGGCCTCTTCCTCAAGTTCTGTACCTCTCTGGTCTCTTCCAGTTTTAATCTTAAAAAATAAAAAAAGAATAAGATGCAAAGCATAGGCTGAGTGACTCCCCGCGGAATCCAAAGCCAGCAGAGCCGGCAAGGCACCTTCGAGGGCATCCCAGCCCAGCTGCTGAGCTACTACCATAGGGGTCCAGAGGACGACCTTGTGCCTAGACCCACCGGGAGTCAGAGCCACTGTGCATCCCAGAAGCATGTCGCCCAACTGTGCGGGCTTGGGGCAGCGGCCTCACTCCTTCGGCCTCAATTTCTGCGTCCGCAGAAGGAACAACCGCCCGGGCTCAGATAACAATGTCAGCTAAGCGCCCGGCCGGTGGTGAGTTCCCCAAGCACGTCTATCTCCTCCAGGCCCATGGGAGCCCCGCCCCAAACGCACCGAACCTCCTCTGAGTCCTGCTCATCTTCCTCTGACTCCGAGTCGCCCCGGCGGCGACGGAAAATCTTCCCGATGACCGGCATGTTGACAAAGTCCCAGCGGCCCAGCCGCCGCGCCGCTACACCGCAGCCCGGGCTGCTTCCGGCGCGCCGCAGCACTGTCAGAGCGCCAGCCCCGCCTGGCCCCGCCCCCAACCGGGCGTTCCCCGCCCTCGGCACGCACCGCCCGCGTGGCCACGCCCCCTCCCCTGGCGTCAGCCTCTCCCAATTGGACAGCAGAGGTAAGGAGGTGGGGCGTCGCCGGACGGCCCCACAACCCTGTGCGGCGCAGTGGAGGGGGCGCGCTTGACTGACAGGAGGCGGCGGCGCGGTTGCGAGCGCAGGTGAGTTCCGGGCCGCCGCCGGCCGCTTCGGTGGGCCGGGCCTCTCCGAGCTTGGGCGACCCCAGCCCAGCTCCGGTCTGACAGGGCCTGGCCTCGCCAGGTGCGCCAGACGCCGCGGCCAGGTGAGCCCGGGAACCCCGGCCGCCGCCGCCCCTCTCCCCTCCTTGGGCGGGCGTCCAGGGGGTCCTCAGGGCCCCGGCACCTGACTCTGAGCCCCCTGGGGGCTCGTGCCTTCTGCAGAACCCTGGCCGCCCCCCTCTCATTTCTGCTGGGGCCTCACCTAGCATTGAAAGCATCCGCGTGGCGTCTCGCGGCTGGGGCGCTGACTTTTCTTTCCTCGGGCTCTGAGCCCTGACGTGCATTTTTTTCTTTAGGAACAAAAGATGACCACTTCCCTGCGGTGCTAAATTAGAGTCCCAGCGCCGACAGCCCCGCACATAATGGCTTCCAGCTTCTCCGCGAGGAGAGGCGCGTCTGATGTTTTGAAGCCACGCAGGAGGGTTTCAGGCCAGGGAGGCTCCTCCTCAGTGCTTGTCGGCCACCCCTCTGGACCTTCATGGGTCTCATTTTCCTCCTTTGGTCGGGAGGTCTGTCGCGCTACCCTCCGCCCCTTCCACCCCGAGGATGCATTGAGGATAAAGTTTATTTGAAAAATGGGTATCAGCAAACGCTTAGGAAATACCAACGTGCGTAAATAATGGCTTCTAGGACTCTTAAGAACCCCTTAAGCAACAGTAGTTTTCCTTTTCTCAGTATCATCCCTTTGAGAACTACGTCTTATGAACCAGTTACTATGTGGCAGGCCTTGGGCTAAGCATAATCTCATTGAATTCTCCCAGCAATCCTTTGAGGTAGATTGTTTTTCGTTCTACAAATGAGAATGCGGAGTCTCGGAGGGGCAGTGCGCGCCTCAAGTTACACAGCTAGGAGGTGGAGCAGGAATTGGTTGCAGGTCTGTGTCTGCCGCACGGTTTGCACAGGGCCTGGCACAGAAGGAGTGCTGTAGGTGTTTGCTGCTGCAGCTGCTGTTACATCTCATTGGCTGGGGGGAAGGGGCGATGGGGACTGTTTGGGGTTCCCCCCTCTGGAAGACCACTCCGAAGCAGGGCAGCATTTCTGGAATGCCTTGTGTTTTCTCTGGCACAGTCTCCGCTGAGATTGTTCTTCTCTTTTTTGGACTGGAAAAAATAGACTCACGACTTCCTGCAGCAGCCTTTTATTTTTGGTCAAAAGCCATATATTAAAGTCTCAAAGTCTTGCCCTCTGCAGACTGGTTCAGCCAAAGCCAGATGCACGTGCACTCACTGGACGTGGAGTCCCTGTCAGATGATGGAGAGACTCCTTGGGCATTGCTGCAGGAGCCCAGGGAGTCAGCGTCTGCAGCTCTCATGCTCTCAGAGGTGGCTCTGAATCTGCCCATCCACCAGGGGTTACCGGACACTACTAAGGAAAGGGCAAGAAGGCCAGGGGCATTTCTGGACCCTCCTCCTCATCTGTAATCCCAGGATACAGATGAGCTGCCCACACCCTTTCTCCATGAGGCCAGAGTACCCAGTGATACCTACCACCTGTGCTGTGGCAGATCCAATTGAGGGCTGTGTAGCAAAAGAAATGCTGAAAAAGTGGCAGCTATGGATCTGGCAGTAAGTGGCTTTTCAGAGAGACTGCAGCCCAAGTCCTACTGGGTCCTTTTTTGTTTTGTTTTGTTTGAGATGTAGTCTTGTTCTGTTGCCAGGCTGGAATGCAGTGGCACAATCTCTGTTCACTGCAACCTCCACCTTCTGGGTTCAAGCAGTTCTACTGCCTCAGCCTCCCGAGTAGTTGGGATTGCAGGTGCACATCACCAAGCCAGCCTAATTTTTGCATTTTTAGTAGAGACGGGGTTTCACCATGTTGGCCAGGATGGTCTTAATCTTCTGAGCTCGTGATCCGCCTGCCTCAGCCTCCCAAAGTTCTGGGATTACAAGTGTGAGCCACCTTGCCTGGCCCTTGCTGGGCCCTTTTAAGGGTAGGGTGAGACTGCCTCTCAAAAAGACCCTCCCAGAAATACAGGTTCTATGCAGTTCCAAGACAAGTTCTAGATTTTAGTCTTGTTTGGGAGTTCAGTTGTTTGTACAGATGCAAACTAGGTTTGGGTTGCTTTCCTAGCTCCTTTCTGGAGCCAGATGAAATGTTGGCTCATTTCAGGGTTCAGGGAGCATTCATGTCTGGGTGGATTTGGGATCCAGCAGCGTGATAATAGTTCACAGCCCAGCTAGAGTCGGGATTCAATAAATGCATTTATTGGATCAATGTATTCAACAGATACTTAGCATTTACTATATGAAGCAGGTGCTGTTCTAGGTGCCTGAAATAAGTCAGTGAGCAGAAGACACAGAAGATCCCTGATTTAGTTGAGTGTATGTTCTGATAATAAAGTATGTAAAGTATGTTAGAAGGTGATAAGTGCTATGGAAAAGTAAAAAATAGAGCAAGGCAAGGGAATTGCCTCCAGGAGGGAGGGAGAGTGGAGCTGCAAATTAAAATTAGCACATTCTGGTTTGTGATTTGACTGGGAAGTGACACAGCAGTGGATGGACTGATAGGCCTTGGTTCCAGTCACTGCCTGGTGGTTTTAAGGGTCTGTAAGCTTGAACTTTATTTTAAAAAGCTTTTATTTAGAATGTACACCTTGAACTCAGGTCCTGATTGTGGGGTATTTAACAGTGATGAAAGAGCCAGGCTTTTCTTAGCTTTTCACCTTAACAAGACAAATATCCAGCTGGTTCCTATTAACATGAAAGAGGACACTTGGTGAAACCATGCTAGTTGACAACAATTTTTTTTTTTTTTTTTTCTTTATGAGACAGAGTGTCTCTCTGTCACCCAGGCTGGAGTGCAGTGGCTCAATCCCGGCTCACAGCAACCTCTGCCTCCTGGATTCAAGTGATTCTTTTGTCTCAGCCTCCCAAGTAGCTAGGACTACAGGCGCCTGTCACCATGCGTGATTAATTTTTGTATTTGTAGTAGAGATGGGGTTTCACCATGCTGGCCAGGTTGGTCTCGAACTCCTGCCCTCAGATGATCTGCCAGCCTCAGCCTCTCAAAGTGTTGGGATTACAGGCATGAGCCACTGCTTCCAGCCTAGAAACGTTCCTGTTGATGGAATCATGTATTTGTTTCCCAAACCTGCTGTAACAAAGTACCATAGACTGGATGGCTTAAACAACAGAGATTTATTTTCTCACGGTTCTGGAGGCTGGAAGTCTCAGATCAAGGTAACGACGGGTTTGGTTCTTCTGAAGGACCTTTCCTTGGCCTGCAGATGGCTGTCTTCTTGCTGTGTAGTGGCTTGGTCTATCTTCTCTGTGAATCCACATTTCTCATCTCATAAAGATATCGGTAAGATTAGATTAAGGCCTTCCCTAAGATCTTATTTTAACTTAATTACCTGTTTTAAAGACATTATCTTCAAATCTGATTACATTCTGAGGTACTGGTGGTTAGAACTTCAGCATATGAATGGGAGAGAGAAAACAATTCAGTCTATAACAAATGCTGTACTGTAATAGGTAGTCCGTACTCAGACGTGCTGGTTGTCCCGGTGATGTTCTTTGTGACATCCCCCCACTTGATCCACGATCCAGTTTTGTCATGTCTCTTAGTGTCTTGCCTGGAACAGTCAAGCCTTGTCTTAGCCTTGGTGGAGAAAAAAGGGAATCTTCAAGTTGCAAGGAAGCAGGAGTGCTCAGCAAGAATGAGGGTTCAGGAGCACAGGCTGCCCCAGGACAGGAAGGCTGTTGAAGGATTGCTCTTGTCCCTGAAGTTGCCTTTCCTGGCTTTTTGTTTGATGTCAAAAGCACCAGGAGGTGAGCTTGGATCCTAAGTGCACCAGGACTCCGTGAATGAGTCACCTGCTGTGTGTCTGACTCCATCACCATGGTGCCTGTTTGTTGCTGGGCTGGTTGGCCTGCAGAGCCCTGAGTGGCCTCATGGAGGGCGCCATTCTGAGTGACTTTGAACATGTGACTTCCATTCCTACCAATTTCGGTGTCCTCATGTATAAAACAGCCAGCGACACAAATTATACTAGTAAATATTTTTTGAGCATTCTTGTCATGTAAATCAATAGAAAATCTGAGCTACCCAGAAAGTCATTAAACAGTGTTTACTGTGCATTGGGTCACTTCATCTTCTCGGTGCTGTCATTGTCCCCATTTTATGGATGTGGAGACCGGGCGATGTATTTATTTAAAGTCACAGACTTGCAAGGGGCAGAGTGAGGTGTTGAACCCAGGGCTACTTGTCTCTAATTTCCTTCCATAGTGACAGTCACCTCCTAAGGTAATGTATGTACAGCAGCTGACCCTCATGAGTGTAGGAAAAGGTGCTGGTGGTGATTATCACCTCCCTAGGGGCTGCTTGCAAGTACCCTGAGGTTGAAGTATGGGACTCTGTGCCCCACAAGAGCAGGGCTTGTGCCTGGCTGTTTCTCAGGACCCCAGGTCACTATTCTTGAGGAGGTTACATGGTCAGTATTGGTTGGGTACCAAAAGAAAACAATATGATAACTTTCAGACAGCTGAGATGTGCACCCTCTTGTCGACCCACGTGTTTCAGATATTTTAGGTCCTGTGTGTGGGATTTTTTTTTTTTTTTTTTGAGATGGGGTCTCATTCTGTCGCCCATGCTGGAGTGCAGTGGTGTGATCTTGGCTCATTGCAATCTCTGCCTCCTGGGTTCAAGCTGTTCTCCTGCCTCAGCCTCCTGAGTAGCTGGAACAACTGGCATGCGCCACCACGCCTGGCTGATTTTTGTATTTTTAA